TATATATATATATATTTCTTACCTTTAGATGTTTCTTTGGTGAAGGCCAGAATCCAGGCTATTACAAGCAGTTTGAAAGTGAAAGTAGAGGGACAAACTGAGGGACAGGCTGAGCTTCTCATTAACTTGCAATGCTATTAAGTCTAACACTTTGTTAGGATAGACAGCATTCAAATCTAGTTTACAATGGAAACTGAAATCTGCCAGCACAGTACAGACAGAGTTAGACTATTAGAGTAAACATAAATTCACACAGCCTCCACCGTAATATTACCTAGGGTAAGTAAAAAGCACTTAAAATGTAAGCAGCAATTTCAAAATATTTTTAAGTTATTCTTTGTGAACGAAAACAGTTAAATATAAAGTTAGTGTTATTCCAGTTCTGTTACAAATGTGGAAATACACTTTAAGGGAGAAGCGTGGGCAGGACTAGAACCCAAGGTTTTAGCCACATCAGGATCCAAACTGTCTGTTCTGGAAGTCCAGAATGTAGTCCAGGAAATACGTGTTCCCAAATAACGTGATCTTCCTGAAGGTGTGAAAAGAAGTTCCTAGCAGTTCCATGATTAGAAGACCAATTAATTAGCCTAGACCTGATCCTCAGAGGCAGACCCCCCCAAACCACATCCCCGGAACAGCAGAGAGAAGGGTTGTGGTGGGTCAAGAAGACACGTGAGAGAAGGGGGTGCTTCAGAGAGGGAGGCCCCTCACACCCTTCTCTTCTGCAACAGTTTAGAGACTGATAACAGTTGAAAGACTCCTTAATACGTGGAGTGACATAAGGGCACTGTCAACCTAATTAAAATAAAACCTTAGTAATAAAGCAAAATTCATGAAATCGGGAGGGTTAGTGTGTTGCCTACCTTGAACTGCTACCCTCACTGTTCCAATTTGGTTTATCTTCATCATCTGATGTAGCACCGCTTGCCGCTATTGCTTCACTTTCACCATCTACCTCCTACCAAAAAAAATATATAAAAATGTGTAATGTGTACTGTAGACAAAGAATAGATAGGGAAATAACACTATAAGATGAAATGCTTACATCTGATGAGCTATTTTCATTCTCCAGGTCTTCTGCTGCCCCTGCTGGCTCTTCCAATGCAGCTCTAGTGCAATAGTTGTGCTGGCTAGATAGCGGTTTTCTTGAATCCCCAGGTTCAAGTATCAATTCATGAGTTTGATTCTGCACAAAAAAGGTGTGCTTAAGTTCACATATAAATTCCAATAAACATTCTGTCGGATAAACCTTTGAGTATAAAGGTATTTCTCGACTCTCCAAAAAAAAAAAGACCCGGGTGCTTTGGCAGCTGTATGGGATTTTCAGGCCCATCAACATTTAACAAGCACTGCTTCTTGCCTGCGTTGGTGTATCCACCTCCAAACATAGCCACACACTTTAACCCACAGTGCAATATTGGCTAATGAGGCAAGCAATTTTCTGTCTGTGCCAACCACAGAAAGCAAAGGCCAAACTGAGCTTGCAAAAAGCAGGCACCAAATTCTCTTTTGCATCCAGTCCCCACATGAACACAGCCTTACAGAAGCAAGCAAACACAATTGAATTAAAAAAAAAAAAGTATGTGATGTATATAAATAATCTTTACAGATAAATGCCAAGCACCAAATATGACAACTAATAAGAATTTTCATGTGTAAAAGGTACAATCAATAAAACAGCAAGACCAGAGCATAAGCATTCTAACATTTTGAATTTCTAAAGCCATTTCTTTCTTGGTTTCAAGCGCATTTTTTGCTCCCCGTACTAAAACATATCTTTCAGAGGTTACCCTAAACATAATATGTCTGTTGAACAGGGATGTATGAATGAATGTGTCACTGTGTAGCCAAGGCTCACCTTTGAACAAGAAGCTACTTTATTATCTCTCACACTCACACTATGACTGGGTACTATTTTCTTTTTCTCCTCTGCTTTGTAGAGATGTATTTCTTCTTGACCTTTTGCCGTCCTCCATTCTTCCTGTTTACTAGGAATAAAATGAGAAGAAACTTAGCAATATGTTTTTTAAGCTTAATAAAAAACAGCATATATACACCATTATGGCAAGATGAATAAGATGGCATGGAAGAAAAAGCAGTAAAATGTTTATACTGTCTGTAGAAGTTCAACAGTAGAAGTTCTAGAGCTTCTGAGTGAAAAGCGTGAACGATGTTGTTTTGAAAAGACTTTACCTGGCTACTCCAGGAGAGAGTTCAGGAACCACCACTCTCCGACTCCAAGCTACTAGATCCCTTTCAGTTGCAATCTCACTGCGTGGAGCATTGCTGTGCATTTGTCGAACACCTTCAATCTGACCACTGCGTCTTAAGCCAATATTAGGTGGAGAATGAACTTCTGGATTGGAGCTTATTGAAGCTGTAGGGATTTAATTAATTGAGAACGCATGAATTACACTGAGTATAAATCATTTCTACAAAGTTAAAAGGTGTAATATGATAGCCAGAGATCAGTATAATTGCAAAAAGAAAAAGTTGCTTTTACATGATGCCATTAAAGGCAGAAAAGTAAAGAATCTCTAAGGGCCCACTCACAGCAGATCTGTTGCGATATGTTTTTCAGCACATGCTAATGGAAGGTACCGAAAAATGAAAGGGTGTGAATGGGGCTAATTCACAACGCTCTGTTCCATCCGTTGTTACATGCACTACTTTTTTTTTTTTTAGCACAACTTAACCCAACAGATTCGGGGTGAGCTAGCCCCATTCCCACCCATTCATTTTCCGGTGACCTTCCGTTAGCATTCATTGAAAAATGGATTGCGTCCTAAAGGATCAGAAAGAAATGACGGTGCATTCACACCATGATCGGAAGGAAATTGCAAGTCAACACAAGGTCCAATGACTTGAAATTATACCTTCCGATTTCATTCTGATCTGTTGTGATCCATTTAATGGATGCTAATGGAAGGGCACTGAAAAATTAATAGGTGTGAATAGGACTAATCCACATTGGATGCGTTACGTTACACTGAAGAAAAAAAAAAGTGGATGTTCTACTTTTTTAGCACAATGTAATATAACACAATGGAACGGAGCAGTGCGAACTAGGCCCATTCACAACCAATCTTTAGGTGCCCTTCGGTTAGAATCTGTTGAAAAAAGTATCGCAACAGATCCGGCGTGAATGGGCCCTCACTCTGCAAACCCAATTGGGAGCAAGATGTGGGCTCTATTTTTTAGGAACAGTGGGATTTTATTCCATAAAATACGTTATTTTGAATTACCAGTAGGTGATCAATATGCTAATACTGCTATTACTAGACTCCTGTTTTTGGCAAGAAAGTTAATAGAAAAGAAAGCACAACTCTTCCTCTCCCATTCACTCTCCAGATGTTGATAGATTTGAGAAACAAACGTACCAAAAAACAAAATTTGATCGGATATGTTCAGCCTGATTATGTACGCCTGAAGTGGCACCAGCAAAGCTCCTGCTAGAAAGACTGCTGTTAACATCTCTTTTTTTCATTCAGCCTTGCTCAAGGTCGCCATTGTGTCGGTCATTATATGGGTCCAACACATTGAGATCATTTGCATGGTGATAGCACTAATGTTATTGGATTAGGTTAATTTCCCCCTCTTGTATATTGTATTGTTTCCCCCCCACCAGGAGGCTTACTCCCTCACTGTATGTAAATATGTGTTCCTTTGTTTTTTGTCTTTCTTTAAGGTTACTGTGCGATAAAACTAAATTAAAATGGATGTAATTTAAAACAAACTGCAGAAAACCACTTCAGATTTTAAGAATAAAAAAGCAACTTATGAATGTGACTAATGAATCAAAATGATACTTGCCTCTTGACATGCGACTGTTGATGTTCCCAGTGACTGCATTTATCCTCTGGTCTTGTTCCTGCTGAAGCCGCTGAATAAGACTGTCTAAGGGACTAACTTCATTATCTGCTTGCTGACTGAGGACTTGGTTCAGCCCTATGAGCACAAGTTAAGAATTTTAAATGTATTAAGCAAATATTCTATGCAACTCTAGTTTGACGTACTCTATAGGTGACAATTTACTATAATCAATGAAAGAAAAGAGAAAAAAAAGGTTACGACACAACTACAGACTGCAGCACATTTCCTAGGTATAATTCTGTATTGTTTTGATGTTTCAAGAAGGAGCCATAATCAATTCAAATTTACTATGTACCATAGGAAATTATACTGATGCAACATAGAAAGATGCCTAGCAACAGTAAATGCAACAAAAGCCATATACTTGAATACTAGTTAAAATACATGTGGCATGGGCATGAAACCACAAAACACTTCAATTACACTTCCCTTAATTTTAAACTATCCTTACTCGTATGATCATTTCTTTGCATTATTAAAAGTACAGGTGTACTTAAAAAAAAAAAAAAACCTCTCTCCAGTCAACCTGCTAGAGCTTTGTCTGGTGTCGTTTTCCTCCCTAGACCAAAAAGAAGACCTAACATTTGCCATGCGAGGCTAGCGCCACTGCAAGCTTTAAGAAGAAAATTCCTGAAAATGCACCTGATGCGGTAACCCCCATTTGGGGGATGAGATATTCGTCCCTGCAGTTTTCACGGCCAGGCACTAAGCGTTGATATCGTAGTGGATGAGGATTGCCATCTACATCCACCAAGAATGGCGGTGGCATAAGGTGTGGTGCTTGTTGTGTTTGTTCATCCAGAACATAGTTGTTGGCATCACGAATGAGAGGCCGATAATCACTGTGAAAGAACATTTGATCTGCTATCTAGAAATGAAAGACAAATACAAGGTAAAAATGTGTTCATTTCTAAAGGTCAGCCACAACCAAATAAATATGATTAATTCAGCATTACATGTTTGACATAAACAAATTCCATATGGTGATTCAACTGGAGACCCCATTACCAGATTCCCCCTCCAGAATCTCTAGATTCATCCAACTGCCACAGCCATTACAAACCCAAATGGTAGTTTCACACGATAGCATCGTATGCTATAAAATATAATGCAGGGCACTTTATTGCTCAGAAGGAAAGATCATTATGCTTACACCATATGCTGAGGGTAAAAAAAAAAAAAAAAAAGAGAGAAGAGGACATAACTGTTAGTCAGTTTTTGTAAACCTTTTAGACGGCAAGTCTCTCTTTTTTATCAGGTACTTTTCAGATGACAGATACAATCTTAATTTAGTAAAACCTGTAGGGCTGCTACACAGGCATTTCAGCAGTAACCACTTGGATCAAAGAAGAAAATACTTGCACTGTGGGAATAGGGTGAAATTAAACACATGATAACCTGACAGTGCGGATATTTAAACACATTTTGAAAGTGCTGGAAGCCACAGCCATCGGAAGAGGCAAGTATGGACCCATAGGAACAGGAATACACAGCTAATTGTACTAAGGGGGCTAGGATGATTTTTTTTTCTCTACACAAGGTTTCCAATTTAATAAAAAACAAAGTTACTTTTTGAATAGCCATTAGGTCATGGTATGACAATATACAAAGTTTATAATTTGCCAACCTACCTTGTCATATTTGCTACTAGAACCAAAGCCAAAAATAAGCAGATGACCATGCGAGTCTGTACAAGCAAAGTGTTGACCGTCTGGAGAGCATTTACAGTCAAACACAGCTCCATGCCCTTGCCCTTCAATCTGTTAAAACAGTGAAATATCTTAAGATGTTTAAGTGATAGAGAACAATGTCTTGAGAACAATGTCTTCAAAATAAAAGTCATCCATGTATTAATAAGAAAGCTAGAGGTGGTCTATAGCAATTAAAACAAAAGAAAGACACATACAGCATAGGCTTCCTACCAAAGGTTATGAAAACCTTTGAGCAACTCTGAACGCTAATGGGCAATATGTCCATCACACTTAAGGAAAAAACACTCAATATACAAAAAAGTACACAAAGCAGGATTCAAAAGTGCAGTATGTCATGCTTGGGTAACTGTTTCTTGATGCAAACAGCTTACTATATTGCAATCTAAACAGCAGAAAACATTTCATATTTAGGGCCCATTCACCCAATCCAGTGTGTTCATAGCCCTGGATTGTACTGGATTGCATATTCAAAGCCTCCTCGTGTTCTGGGGCGGGAGGGGGTGTGGTGGTGCCATTCATGTCAATGGCACTGCAGACTGCCTCCCACTCGCAGTTCGATTGCCTGCACCAGAACGGGTGGTACAGCAATATATTTTTTGCTGTTGCACCAGAACGCAGGGCATTGCTGTACCAGTCCTGTGTGGGCCAGCGCACTGCAGGCAGGAGTGTCCGCAGTGCCATTGACATTAATGGCATTACCACGCCCCCTCCCACACCAGAATGTAGGGAAGTTTTGAATATGCAATTCAGTGCGTTCTTGGCATGGAAACGTGCCCTAAATGCACTGGATGGTGTGAACAGATCCTAAAAGCCAGACACAGCTTACTTTGCTAAAAGCTGACAATGTTCAATGCATTCTTTAATAACATGCATGTCTCTACAGAGCCTGACCGTAATCAAAACTTCTCAGATGGTTTTCTGCAAAACGCAGTGTACTAAGGAACATAAGCAAGATGGTTTATTATCGCACTGCTTTTGTTTTCAGTCATTTACATGTTATCTAATTAGAGCAGGAACATGTAGTGGAGCCAATGTGTAGAAAATGGATAAAGATGAACCTTAGCCTAGCCAAGGAACTGGCATAAACAGAAATAGAATATACAGGACTACATTCAAATAGTATAGGACTACATTCACCAAGTTTATTTCCACATAAGTGCTCAAATCATGAGTCACCTACAGCCACGTGGTACAATTGTCACTTATCTAAGGAAGGCTTACCATGTTAAAATAAGATCGAATTTTTACTCCTCGGGCTAGATCCCACACTATGACATTGCCATCATGACCTGCAGAAAACAATACTCTTGGATCAAAGGGATGGGACTCGAGTACAAAAACTTCATCTTCATGCCCCTTAAAAGTAAAGAAAAAAAAAAAAAGTTGAAAAGCCTTGCATCAAGCAATGATTCATAAGTTAAAAGTAAAAATGAAAGCTTTGAATATTTTACAGTTCATTTTTCGTTTAAAAGACAAATCATAAAACAAGTTTTACTTTGAGATGCTGTCACTTTGTCTAAGCTATCCATTTAGGTGAGAAAACATAAAAGCTAAAAGGGGGATGCAGCTGAGAACACACAGGCATGACAGTCTATAAAAAGGTAAATTCCACCTTTAAAAAAATATATATAAATAA